GTTAGTACATTTAATATCATTTTATTAAATAATTTAATCAAAACGTTTAATTATTCATTATGAAGATCAAATAAAACCATTGGGAAAATCCCTTTATATCATTACTTATCACATAATTCGTCTAGGAAATGTTATTTGTCTTCACCCAATCTTTTGGTAATTCCATTATTGTCGAATATTGTATCTTTAATACATAACTCCTCATCTTTAACTATTTATACTTGATTATCATGATTATTGATTATGTCATTAAACTTGTCAGTAATTTCTACATTATTTATCATTCACCGCGATCATCGCACAATACATTATGATAACTGCCCTACAGATGCCCCAATCACTCCTCCTCGCCTCACCCCAGCCCCCCCCCCCCCCCCCCCCCCCTTCAGTCCAAATAATAAAAACAAACCAACCAATAAAAAAGACACCAAAAATAACCCAACAAATAACTGATCTTCCGTTAACATAAAACGGTATTTAATATCCCATTTAAACATTTTTATTCAGTTCAATATTGTGATAATAAATGAGAGTTACTGAACGGACATACTCTTTGTAATGACATGGCATTTTTAACTTTTTGTGTTAAATAAATGATTGTCTAATTTCATTTTGTATTCATAACTCTTTTAAATATCTTAAACCGATCACACAAAAAAATCCATTAAATGTAAGTAAAACTTTTCAATAAAGTTGTTGGAGTTCTTCACAGACTACACAGAAAGGTGGGCCTATGTAAATTTACATAAATCTTGTTCTAAATTTCGGGTTAAATTAAATATATAATCCGGTCATGGTTTTGACCGATATCGATTTTGATCTATATTTAGCGAGGAATGGTTAAAATGTACATTCTACAATATGAATGCATTATAAAAATCGATCTGTATAATTTTCTATACTATCTAAGGGTTTGAACATACAGTATACTTGATCAGGGCATTTTGAAATGTAAGCAATTATGAAATATCGAAGGAATAAAATATATATTTAATACAGTTAAATGATCGCGAATATTAACGTAATAAATGTATTAACGTTATAATAGTTTTGACATTTAAAGATGGGTAAAGAAGTGTTCCAGATAATATTAGACAATCAAAGTGGAGTGTTCTACCCTGGTCAACCCGTTACCGGAAGAGTAGACCTGGAATTGTTTGATAGTCTAAAAGTCAGGGGTGAGTCAAATATTTTCTTGCCAAAGATTACAAAACAACTTTTTTTCATGTCGAATAATTATTTTCCGTGGTAATGATTAATAAATATGTTGATTTTAAATTTATACAGCCATTGTTAAGCATTGTGATTCAAAATGTGCTCATCTTCAACTCAATAGGTGCTAATAGTTTCTTCTTCTCTTTAACTCTTGTTTGATTTCTGCATCGACTTTGACTCCGGTCTGTTGAATTATTTATTAGGTCAAATAAAATTAAAAATCGAATTTTCACCTGTAGCGGGATTATTACATGCTTTACAACATAATCGGCTTATAAATCAACCTTTTGTTGGTGGAAGGGAGGCAACTGACCCATAATTTTGACGAGTTTGTTGTCTCGAAAGGGTAGTTACTGTTTGGCAGTTGTCATACGATTCACATTACATTCTATTTAACAATGGAACAACACTAAATAGACAATGCAGGTATTTAAATGGATATGTTCGACTTTAAGTCTGCAAACTACAAGTCTGCGGATTGAGAGGTTATTCATAAATGTATGCATTCATAATGTTTCATTCAAATCCATTATCATACGCACAGAGTTATAAATAATTAATTCGACATTTTGTTCTATTTAACGTTATTTATTGCTTTATGATTTGCAAATTTGCATGTATAAAACACACAAACGTTGACAGAGCGCGTAACCAATGCCCAAAGGTATCATTATAATGGTAAGCTCAATGCACGCCAGAAATTAGTTCAAAATATACATGCAAACATAATCTGACGAAGGACATGTTGTTTCTTGATTAATTATATTTGGTGTAAAAAACATGACCATAATAGTTAGTTTACTTCCGTAACAATTACTCCTATCGGTGTCAGAAACGGTATTTGCCAGAAATTACTATAATAGATAGATACCTAATATTTACTTCATGTAATAAGAGGAATACATTCATTGTAATAAGATACCTAGTAGTTTCTTGAGTGGGAAGGGTATACTTTTCTTGTTCATAGATGGTTTTTTAAGTGGACCAGGTACTCTGAGTGGGACAATGATGCTTCTCATATTAAAAGATGGCTTTGTGAGTGGGACAGGAATACTATTCTTGTAAATTGATGTTACTGAGGGATAGAACGGGTATAAAATTCTTGTCAATAAATTGTTCTGTGAGTGGAACTGTTATACCATTCTTGTAAATAGACCGTTATGAAAATGGGACGGGCATATCATTGTTATAAAACGACGGTGCTGTGAGTGGAACGGACATACCCTAACTGTAAACAGATTGTACCGAGAGTGGCCCCTCTTGTATAAATAGACATTTCTTTGAGTGGGACGAGCGTACTCCTCATGTAAATAGATAGTTCTTTGAGCGGGATGAGCTAACCCCTCGTGTAAGTGGGGCGAGCTATCCCCTCGTGCAAATAGATAGTTCTTTGAGAGTGGCGAGGTTACCCCTTGTGTAAATAGATAGTTATTTGAGTGAGACGAGTTAATCCCTCGTGTAAATAGATATTCTGTGAGTATGACGGATTCCTGGATATACTCGTCTTGTATGCAGCAAAACAGTATATAATCGTATGAAATCGGTTAGGGCTATAACACAATGACCAACTAGCAAAATTGAATTATTATTAGTTCCTATTGCAATGAAGTACTAGTACATAAATGCCAATAGAATATACCCAGAACCTCAATGCAGAACATTCCTGCAGCCTCAACTGTCCGCTCAATTCAAGAATTTGATAGTCGGCTCCCTTAAACTAAGCTTGGATAGGAGGACAAAATCTGTTACAATATACGTGATTTAGTTTTGTAATTTATTGCCTCCGGTGTTACTTCATTGACATTATTATAATTTTCCTGACGCTACTTTTCAGCTATCAACCTGCATTTTAGGGGCTATGCAAACGTGCATTGGACAGAAAGGAGCGGGGGTAAAAATAAACGAACACGACATTACTCTAGTAATGAGAGTTACATGAACAATAAAGTATGCTTGTTTGGAAAAGGTAAGTTGTAAATATTATGATTATTCTATATATTTTTACCAATAAATGAATTTGCATCTTTTCAAGTTAATAAATTTCTGCGAGGCGAGATGTTGAATTTGATTGTGTGCAGTAATTGTTGGTTAATTTTGTTGTTACTGTATATAACGTTGATGGATGCAACATCTCGAATATTAAATGCATTTGAATGTAAATTTTTTTATCTATATCCAGAACAACATGGTGAGGACAGCGTGAAACTAGAACCTGGTAAATACAGTTACCCATTCAATTTCCAGCTTCCGCAGGGGATACCGTCCTCATACGAAGCCACTATCGGCCGGGTTCGATACTTTATACAATCAGAAATTGACATCCCATGGGCGTTTGATAAACAGACAAAACGAATGTTTACAGTTGTTAATCTACTTGATCTGAACACAGTTCCAAACGCTATGGTAAATATTAATGTACATGTATTTTGCATAGTTTGTGTAATATTATGGTATCATTGTCGTTTTGGTAATCGTCACCTAGATCAAAAGTAACAGATATAACTAGATAAAGTAAAAATGCACTCTGATTATTTATTTATATAAAGAACAAAACATGTCGTTTGAACAGGCAAAATGCTCCCACACCATTCCCCCTCAAAGCTGGGTTCATTAAAGGAACGTGACCTTTTACTCCAACGAATGCATGTACTATAAAGAAAGTGTAACAAGACTAATACAGTAACAAACACTGAGTCTTTCCTACTTTCTCAGTGTTCCAAAATATTTCAAGAAGCATCCACCAGACACAAATATCAATGTACTATTTTAACATCAAAGTTCATGTAGCAAACTGTTTAACTGGTGTGGCAAATTTACGTACGTACAATTGTGACCTTGACCTTTGAGCTGGAAACCTATTTTTGCGAGCGACACACCATCTTAAAAGCAAAGTTATTTTAAAATCCCTCAATATGGCTGGCTTGTTCACCGGACATATACATCAATACTTTTTGGGAATAAAACCCTTTCAAGTAAAGTGTGACATTGACTACTGTTATGTATGGAACATATTACATGTATATAATTTATATCTGACCAGTTGGTTTTTCCAATATTATCATTGTTCTATTTTTAGAACATTAACTACATGTATGTACTAGAACTTTCTTACATGTTGTAGAAAACTCATGCATTATATTTAGATAGAAACTTCTGGAATGATCTTTATTGGTGAAGTTGCTAGATTATGATTACTTGAGAACATAATAGACCTTTCTGGAAACTTCTTAGTTATTATATATAAGGAGACATTTTTCATTAATCTTATCTTTAAGTCATCAGTTACCTTTTTAGTCATCAGTAATCTTTTAAGTCATCAATATATTTGGAGTATTATTCAACTTGGAAATTAAGTGATTTATTGGAGCTTGGATTATTAATTATTCTTGTGGATTTTATTGTGGGAATTTATTCTAAAGTGTTCTTGGATTTAACTTGGATTTAACTGTGCTATTCAAAAAGGATCATTCCAGGATCAGACTAGACATTTGTAATTTTCATTTTTATTTGGACTTCAGGTATTTGTAATCATAATTTGTTATTTTATTTTTCTTTAATAATTTTTCTGTAATAAATTTGTTATTGTTACAAGTTTGTTGCTGGCTTTTCTTTCTCGTTACGCCTGGCTCGTAACAGAAATTGGGGGCTCGTCCGGGATTTGAATATTTCTTTTTGGCTACATTATTGGAAATTATTACCGTTTATTTTACATTTTATTATTACCGTATTTACTCATCTGAGTTGATATCATAGTTGTTCTATTAAGTGTACCTTTCATTTTGAAATTTTTGAAACACATCACTTTCTGAGTTTAAAACCAGCAGCAAGCAGTCATGTCTTTTAATTTAGAAAAGTTTGTAGCTGAACCTTCCCAGGAGGTATTAGATTTGGCTAAAAAAACTGATTTGCTTGATCTTGCAAAAAAGTATAATTTATCAGAAATTAAATCTTCAATGCGTAAACAAGAAATTAAAAATCTTCTGATTCATTATTTTGTGGATGAAGATATTTTTGGACAAGATGCACTTTCTCTGATTGTTGAAACAAACCCAGAAATTAAGATAAAAGAGCTTGAACTTCAATTTAAATTTGAACTAGAAAAAATGCAATTAGAAAATGAAAGGGAAGAAAGGCAGTTACAGTTAGAAAAAGAAAGGGAAGAAAGACTGTTAGAAAAAGAAAGGGAAGAAAAAGAAAGGGAAAGGCAGTTTGAAAAAGAAAGAGAAGAGAGAGAATTTCAGTTAAAAATGAGAGAATTAGAAATCAAAGAGAGAGCAAATCAGTTTGAACATAGAATAAATTCAAAATTTGATGTCACTAAAAATATTAGGCTTGTTCCACCTTTCCAAGAAAAAGAAGTTGATAAGTATTTTCTTCATTTTGAAAAGGTTGCTGAAAATTTAAAATGGCCAAGAGAGCACTGGACATTACTTTTACAGAGCGTCTTAACTGGTAAAGCTCGTGAAATCTATACACAACTTACTGTTGAACAAAGCTCTAATTATGATAATGTAAAAGAATTAATTCTGAAAGGTTATGAGTTAGTACCAGAGGCCTACAGGCAAAAATTCAGAAATTCTAAGAAAGAAATTGGTCAAACCCATGTCGAATTTGCAAGGGAAAAAGAACAACTTTTTGATCGGTGGTGTCTATCTAAAAAAATAAATAAAAATCATGAAAAGCTCAGACAGCTCATGTTAGTTGAAGAGTTTAAAAGTTGTATTCACTCTGATGTTAAATCTTTCTTAGATGAAAAACAGGTAGAAACTTTAGAAGAAGCTGCCCGTCTAGCTGATGATTATTCTTTAACCCACAAAGTCTCATTTTTAAATAAAGGGAAGTCCACACCCTCATATTTTAATTCCAAGTTCAGTTCTGGTAATTTATCTGGCTCATCTAGTCAGTCAAATAGTCCCAAACCAAAGTCATCTGATGAACATAAAGGTCATAATCCCTTATCTCGTCCTACATGCAATTATTGCAAGAAAACTGGACATCTTATTTCTGATTGCTTTACCTTAAAAAGGAGGCAACAACAACGTGATGAGGCCAAACCCACAGGTCTTACCACTTCAAGGTCTGAACCTCAGTCTTGTATTGATAACAATGCAATTTTGAAGGTCAAAGAACCCAAGTCTGATTCTATAATGGAGATTTATGAACCATTCCTTTCGGACGGTTCCGTGTCACTTATCGGTGATACTTGCCCACCTAACCCTATTAAAATTTTAAGAGACACAGGAGCTTCTCAATCTCTTATTTTAGCAGATACACTGCCTTTTTCTGAGAAGACTTCTTCTGGATCTAGTGTCCTTATTCAGGGTGTAGAGTGTGGTTTTTCTAATGTCCCTCTCCATAATATTTATTTGTCCTCAGATTTGGTAACTGGGCCGGTGGCTGTAGGTATAAGATCTTTCTTACCCTTTAAAGGTGTTCATTTATTGCTAGGTAATGACTTAGCTGGAGATAAGGTAGTGGTTAATCCACTTGTAACTGACACTCCTTGTGTGGATCAGATACCTGACCCCATTGAGCAGGAAATTCCTGACCTTTACCCTTCATGTGCAGTTACTCGAGCTATGGCTAAGAAGGCCATTCAAGAAGATAATTATTGTTCAGATATTGACTTAGCTGATACTTTTATAGGTCAGTCTTTTGATAATGAAATGAATTTTTCTCTCACTCCTACTCTGCCTGAAACTCAGACAGATTTTTCAATATCTGACTTTTCTACACCAAGATCTAAAGATCAAGGTCATGACACGCTGTCAAGGTCACAGCTTATCCAGGAACAACAAAATGATCCTGAGATTTCTGTCCTTTTTCAAAAGGCCTTTAGTGAAGATGAAGCTTTACAAGTCCCTGTTTGTTATTATGAAAAGAATGGGATTTTAATGAGAAAATGGCGACCGCCCGATGTCCCTGCTGAAGAGGAGTGGACAGTTAATCACCAAATTGTGGTCCCTAAATCTTATCGCCAGGAAATATTACACTTGGCTCATGAAACACCCATGGCAGGTCATTTAGGTGTTAATAAAACCTACCATAAAATTCTCAATCATTTTTATTGGCCTGGCCTTAAAGCAGATGTATCTAGGTACTGTAAATCTTGTCATACTTGTCAGATGGTTGGAAAACCTAACCAGACAATACCTAAAGCTCATTTACAGCCTATTCCTGCATTTGATGAACCTTTTAGTAGAGTTATTATTGACTGTGTAGGTCCATTACCAAAAACTAAATCAGGTTCTCAGTACTTATTAACTATTATGTGTGCTTCTACGCGCTTCCCTGAAGCTATTCCTTTAAGAAATATTAAAGCCAAAACTATTGTCAAGGCTCTTGTGAAATTTTTCACATTTGTTGGTTTACCTAAATCAGTACAGTCTGATCAAGGGTCAAATTTTATGTCTGGTATTTTCCAGCAGGTCATGCATGAGTTAGGAATTACTCAATATAGGTCTTCAGCTTATCACCCTGAAAGTCAAGGTTCTTTAGAAAGATTTCACCAGACTCTGAAAAATATGATAAGGTCATATTGTTTTGACACTGAAAAAGACTGGGATGAAGGCATCCATTTATTGTTATTTGCTGTAAGAGAATCTGTTCAGGAATCTCTTGGCTTCAGCCCTTTTGAATTAGTATTTGGTCACACTGTCCGAGGACCCTTAAAACTTCTAAAAGAGAAATTCCTGTCTGAAGATAACATATCTTTAAATTTGCTTCAGTATGTATCAGATTTTCGAAATAGGTTGACTAATGCATGTGAGTTAGCTAGGGTTAATTTAAAATCAACACAAAGTAAAATGAAATCAAGGTATGATGAGAATGCTCAGGAAAGAAGTTTTAACCCTGGTGATAGAGTACTTGCTCTTTTACCTATACCTGGAAAACCATTACAGGCAAGATACTTTGGTCCTTATACTATTGAAAAGAAAGTCAGTGACCTTAATTATATTATTAATACTCCTGGGAGGCGAAAGCAAAAGCAAATGTGTCATATAAATATGTTAAAAGAATATTTTGACAGAGATAGCTCAATTAATAAACCTATATCTGTTGTAAACTCTGTTCCACAAAATCAATGTTCAATTGAATCTAATAGGTGTGAAAATTTTGAAAAGTCTGATCCTGGTTCAGCAAAGCTTGAAAACTCTGATATTCTGAAAAATCTGGATGAAAAACTTGCTCACTTAGAACCGTCGAAACGAGATGAACTGAAACAGCTTATTAATGAATATGAACATTTATTTCCTGATATTCCCACACGGACTGATAAAATACATCATGACGTCATTCTTGAAAACTCTGAACCAATAAAACAACATCCATATAGAACGAATCCTGTAAAACAAAAATACCTAAGACAAGAAATTCAGTATTTATTGGATAATGACTTTATCGAACCAAGTCAAAGCAGTTACAGCTCTCCATGTATTCTTGTACCGAAATCAAATGGAACATATAGAATGTGTACAGATTATCGTAAAGTGAACTCTGTAACAAAAACTGATTCATTTCCTATACCAAGAATTGATGACTGTATTGACAAAATTGGAAAAGCAAAGTATGTAACAAAGTTTGATCTTCTAAAAGGATTCTGGCAAGTTCCACTTACTGATAGAGCTAAAGAAATATCAGCCTTTGTAACACCAGACGGCTTATATCAATATAAAGTCATGCCATTTGGTATGAAAAACTCACCAGCAACTTTTCAGAGGCTTATAAACATGGTAATATCTGGTCTACACGGATGTGACGCATACATTGATGACGCAATCATCTACTCTGATGAATGGGAGGAACATCTCACAACTATAAGAGCATTCTTCGACCGACTTAGTGATGCTAAATTGACAGTTAATCTTGCAAAAAGTGAATTTTGTCATGCAATTTTAACATTTTTAGGACATGTAGTGGGACAGGGTAAAGTAAAACCAATAGAAGCTAAGGTCAAAGCTATCTCTGAATTTCCTGTGCCAACTTGTAAAAGACAACTGATGCGATTTCTTGGTATGGCAGGGTATTATCGTAAATTTTGTAATAATTTTTCGGTTATTGCAGAACCATTGACAAATGGCATTTGACAGCCTTAAAGCCATACTTAAGAGTGCACCAGTTCTCTTGGCACCAGATTTTAATAAAAACTTTAAGTTAGCTGTAGATGCTAGTGACATAGGTGCTGGAAGTGTATTGATCCAAGAAGACAACAATGGTGTTGACCATCCCGTTTGTTACTTTTCTAAAAAGTTTAATGAACATCAGAAAAATTACTCTACTATAGAGAAAGAGTGCCTTGCTCTTATTCTTTCTATTCAGCATTTTGAAGTTTATCTAACTTCTTCAAAGTTGCCTGTTGTTGTCTTTAGTGATCACAATCCCCTCACTTTCTTGCATAAACTTAAAAACAAAAATCAAAGGTTGTTAAGGTGGAGCTTATTTTTGCAAGAATATAGTCTTGACATCAGACACATTAAAGGGAAAGATAATTTGATCCCTGATGCACTTTCACGTGTCTAAAACTGTTATTTGCAGTATTTTAAATTTAACATTTATATGATAGGATTGATTATTTTTTGTTGTTGTTTGCTATTGTTTGTAATAGCATTTATATGATATGATTGGTTATTTTTTTTGTTGTTGTTGTTTGCTATTGTTTGTAATACACATATATATGAATGTATAAAATTGTTTAACATTTCTCCTATGTTATTTGTAAGTTACATTGTTTGAATTTATGTAAAAGAAATATTCATTTCATTCATATTTCTTTTTCTTGAAGAGGGGAAGTGTTATGTATGGAACATATTACATGTATATAATTTATATCTGACCAGTTGGTTTTTCCAATATTATCATTGTTCTATTTTTAGAACATTAACTACATGTATGTACTAGAACTTTCTTACATGTTGTAGAAAACTCATGCATTATATTTAGATAGAAACTTCTGGAATGATCTTTATTGGTGAAGTTGCTAGATTATGATTACTTGAGAACATAATAGACCTTTCTGGAAACTTCTTAGTTATTATATATAAGGAGACATTTTTCATTAATCTTATCTTTAAGTCATCAGTTACCTTTTTAGTCATCAGTAATCTTTTAAGTCATCAATATATTTGGAGTATTATTCAACTTGGAAATTAAGTGATTTATTGGAGCTTGGATTATTAATTATTCTTGTGGATTTTATTGTGGGAATTTATTCTAAAGTGTTCTTGGATTTAACTTGGATTTAACTGTGCTATTCAAAAAGGATCATTCCAGGATCAGACTAGACATTTGTAATTTTCATTTTTATTTGGACTTCAGGTATTTGTAATCATAATTTGTTATTTTATTTTTCTTTAATAATTTTTCTGTAATAAATTTGTTATTGTTACAAGTTTGTTGCTGGCTTTTCTTTCTCGTTACGCCTGGCTCGTAACACTACCAATTCAGCTCAATCTGCTTAACATTTATACAAAACTATTTCAAAATACATTGACGAAGAATGGACCAGACACGAACATCTATTCATATCATATCGAAACTTTTGATGTAAAAGTGTGACATTGACCATGATAGAAAACACGACCATCATGACAAATGTCCTTGACCTTTAAGCTACAGACCTGCGTTTTGCGTGCGACATTTACGCAAAATTATTTGAAAATCATTCCATGAATGCCAAAGATATGGACCGAACAGAGAGTATTGACGGACGGAGGGAAGGCCAAAAGACAGACGCTGCAAAACTATATTTCTCAAAAAACTGGCTGGGGCCATCAAAAAAGACACGAGCAAGCTTATCAAATCATAAACCCTTTATAAGAGTGTCACATTTAGCTAACACCGCTTTCAATACTACTTTTATCTCTATAGTACATTTAATTTTCCAATTTCTTTTTTTCCGACCATGGTCATGTAGAGTGGTGCTTCAAAGACGGACCAGAAGACGTTATGTTGTTTATGTTGTGAGTCGGATCCTATATCAGCCATGGTGACCATAGACAGGATAGGGTATGTACCGGGTGAGGGTATCGTGTTTAGGTCGGAGATAATCAACAAAAGTGACAGAGAGATGACATGTAGCAAAGCTCAACTTCTTATGGTAAATAATTTACTTATCTTGTTTCTAACTAATATAGTATGTACTAAACAAATATTGCAATGTCAATGCACTAAGCTGGATATTGTTTTGTCTACAACATCAGAAAACATATAGAATGCATCATGGTAAGCGTTTAAGTCTGTTTACTTTGCGCCAGTTACCTGTTATTTCTACAATGTCAGAAATTAAATTCTATAAATTTAATTATATCTATATTCCAGCTTGAGTCTTACTTACGGTAACATTCCAAAGTCAATTAAAAGTATGATAAATGTACAGAGAGACAAGTATCATACATGTATATACAACAGTAATTAAAGTATACAAGGCAAGGCTGATATTAGAGTAAAGTCATACTTGTCACTTCTAGTATTGTTCTTTTGCAACTCTATTGACCCAATTAGTGAATGAAAACCAATGACAGGTACTTTAAAGAACCAATTATCGGGAATTTATATTATAAGACTTTCTTAGAAAATAATCTAAAGATTATGACCTCCACCCTTTCCACCCAAAGTTAGTAACCAGCACCAAACGTCGCATGGTATTATTTCCCTTATACAATAATCCCGATTTCCAGTGTTTTTACTTAATGCAATATTATTTGCACTTATGACTTCAACAATAATTGAGCCGTGTCATGACAAAACCAACGTAATGCGTTTGCGACCAGCATGGATCCAGACCAGCCTGCGCATCCGCGCAGTCTGATTAGGATCTATGATGTTCGCATATAAACCCTATAACATGTAGAGAAACTGATAGCGAAGAGCATGGATCCTGATCAGACTGCGCGGATACGCAGGCTGGTCTGGATCCATGCTGGTCGCAAATGTATTACGTTGGTTTTGTCGTGACGCGGCTCAATTCATTCACCATTCATGTATACATACATTAAGCGAACGGTTGTACAAACATTCGTCCCAATGTTGTCTCTTAGGAGAAGCCACAATTTAGCTCTAAACCGAGGGGAAACGTGTAACATTTTTTCTGCTTAGCTTTAAACAAAAAATGAGATATTGAGACGTACCAACTGTTTCATTTTAAGCACATTTGTTTCAAGGAAAATGTCGCGCTGTCACGAACTTCACGAACTTCATTTGTAGTTGTGCAAAATTTTTAATGTAGGCCAATTAAGGCCAACACGAAACTTGGAAAAAAAGATTTTCATGACTAGGCACAATTGTAAAACAAGGGGTGTTTTACTAATTAAATTATTTTTTGAGTTATGCCCCTTTTTATTTATTTATTTATTTTTTTATTTATTCTATTTTTATTTTTTTGTTAGAATTTGTTGTTAATAGAAAACTTTGAAATTGTACAACTCATTGTTGGTATATTGTATGACAAGGGACATACCTAAGTGATCTGAATGTTTAGAGTTGTGTCCATTTTGCAAATAGAGTAATTAAACTTCTGTATTAATTCCAATATCTTGAACATTTACAATCACAAAGTCATTAATCTCTTGAATTTATTTTAGCTTTTGCCCGTGTTAAGGAGAGTTGTTACCACATGCGTTGCCCTTGTTATTTTTTTGAAGTTCATAATATAGATATTTCTTCTCGAAATCATGGTGTTGCTTTCAAATATTACAGACGGTTCAATACCATGCAACTTCGAAGACAAGATCGGTTAACAACATAGTTAATGAAATAGCGCACGGGAAAATCGAGGGTGGAGGCACGGACATATGGATGAATGAAAAGTTACATATACCAGCGGTACCTCCGTCCTACCTCCAGGGTTGTAACATCATTGATATCAGATATTATTTAATGGTGAGTGTATATCAATTATGTTTTCCCTCACTTTAAGATAATTTATGATAATTTGTTATGAATTATGTTTACTTCAGTCCTTCACTTCTTTTTATTTCAATGAAGGAAACTGATAATTTTGATTCATGTTGTGAAGAGGGCGATAATGATTTGTCCATGTTAGCTTTAGGTCTTCGACATACAGAAGGACACCCGTAACAAAACAAAATGTTAAAATAGCAGTTTATAAAGTTTTGGAAGACAGAACCAAGCCCATGTCATTACTTTAGTCTGCAATTATTTCTGGCTTCTCGATCTTAATATTTTGTTATCATGAAACGAACGTTACAAATAAACTGTAACTGAAAATATAGTTAATATATTAATATACACAATTCATGTACTAGGTAAGTGGGAAAATAGTAAAGACGAAATAAAGTTACATGTCTCTTTGCTTAATATTTTACTTTGCATTCCTAGCATGAAACAGTTTCTAGAACATTTGCAGTCCATCCTCAGTATATACAAGTAACATGTATAAAATATTTGCAGTAAACTATATATTTTGTTTTAGATGAATGTCGATCCGTCAGGTCTGGGTTTCGATCTTAATGTCCCTGTGGAGGTTGTTATAGGAAGTATTCCCTTGGCCTCAATAGCTCAACAGCATGGTATGACAGTACCTTCAGCACCATCTCAGCCTCTTCCACCCCCTCCACCGGGCGCACCCCAGGGACTCTATTCTGACTCTTCGTTGCCTACAAATATACGTAAGTAGAACAATAAGAACAACTTAATTGTTCATAATTGTGACAATAGATGTATGTTTAATCGCGCCAAAAATATCATTTAACCATTCGGTGAAGATCTTTCAAATACATGTAGTATATTTGACGATCCTGATTTGGCCAATGGGAAATTAATAAATATTTAGAAACTCGTTTTTTAAATGCATTGCATAGTAACAATTATCATACGTAACATAAATATGTTCCTTTTTTTTTTACTTATATGAATTTCAGAAGAAAGGATTGGAGCAAAACACTAAATACCGTATTCCGGTATATACCGGACACGGCGCTTAAAATGATAAAATCTTGCCTTTTTACCCAACGGAATGAACTTTAAAAGGTCTAATTCACTGATTTATGTATGATAATGAATAAATTTTTTTAAAAAACAGCGAAAAAAAACGATATTTGTCTATTTTGTGATCATGATTTCTGCAAGCGTCTAGAGGTACTGATCCAATCCGGTATTGAGTTAAATCCATTTCAGAAACATATTAAATTCAGGATGTCCTTAGCGGTCCAGTGAATTATTGAACGGGCACTGGTCCAGTGAATTATTTAGCGGGCACTATTGTTTTTATCGGACCACTAAAATTTGGTGGTATATAACTGAGAAGGAAATTTTGCATAATACGCATTATTCTATAGAATTCTGCTGAATTTTTTTCAGAACATTTTATTATAATATAATTTCTTTCCCCGCAAAAGTTTTAATATTTTGTTTCTGTTTATAGTAAACTCTCTAAGTCAGTCCAAACATTGAACGAACAAAATACGGAAATGTTTGCAACTGATGGATCACTGTAATGCTTGGACGACTTTCATGTTATGTACTTTTTTCTTAAATGATTTCTAAATTTTGATATAGACCAAAATAAACGTTTGTAGTATATACTATATTTTATATACTATACTATGGTAAAATTTGTTCACTTGCTCCCCATTATGAAAAATCATAAAGCAAATTGTTGTTGTTTTAATTTTAGCTCAAGCAGCATTGGCAGAGAGTGCTTTAGGTCGTGTGAATACAAAAGAAGAAGGGGACACTGACGAAATCACGGGGAACACAAATTTTGCTCCGGTGTATACCTATTATCAATGGGACAAACCCGATCCGAACCAAACGTTCGCGGTACAGATGAACGAGGGTGACACGGAGAACTGAATGATGTCCCTATGTTATATAGACATTAAAACGTTTATGAAGTTAGTTTATTAAGTTAAATACGTAAAACGAGAAAGAAATCTCTGTTACCATATAAAAATTAGGAAGTGTGACGAGCAGCATTCCGAATGTACCGGAAATACTGTGAGCGGGTTTTCCCTTTTCAGTGTGCATAATATATGTTTTACATTTGTTATTGCGACTTTTTCATCTTTTTCGCAGTACTTTGTCAAAAAGTATTTGACAGCAATAGATGATATTTTTAAACAAATCTCCGTTACATAATAGTACTTGTTGGCACGTTTTTATCTTTATACGGGGTAATAATAAAAATATATAACGAAGGTGTTTATCATTTATTGAGCACATATACACATAGCCTATACTTCTGATTTGCGATATTTTTGTGATGTTTTGTTAAATAATTATAAGTTGTAAAACATAAGCATTTTTTACGAAAATCTTTATTTATTTTTAGGGAATCAAGCGAATATGGAATGTGGTTATAACGCTTAAATCCAGTAATATATACATATAACTTACTCGGCAGCAATTAGTGTAGATATATGATATCGAGTTTTAAGAACCACTTTGCAGTTATATGGAAAACTCCCTACGGTCGTCTTTATACAAACTCTTGCCCATATTATAAGACGCGGTACAGATATACCGTATCAGCCGTATGGTTTAACAATGTCATGGTGATTGAATAACAGCTGATACCTAAAACTGCCCACTCTTTTTATAAATTGAACGGTATAGGTAAATTCTGATGGATATTTACCGAATTTTCGGTAATTTCATTAAGCCACGTGAGTTATAGATCGTTTTAATCAAAGTTAAAGATTGAATTGAATTATGGAAAAATGTAAACTTGTTCAGTCTCTATATACATTTGGATGGGCATATTCCTGATGACCTCGAACAGATTCGATTTGTATTTGTTTGGGTCGCCAGACCAAAGAAATAATGGTAGCGAAATTTCAGACCCTAATGTTCTTATTTGCAAATACCGAAAGTAGTTTAAACTCCTCAAAGCAGTTACTTCCCTTCATATGTACATTAACGCCGAAAAATTAAGGGGAGATCACTGCGTAAAGATTGTCATATGACAGGCGCATGAATTTTCGTAACGAAAAAATAGTTCCCGATTGGTCGAAGATTTCTAATATTTGTTTTTCTTCTAGATATACATGCTTATATTCGCTCCATGATTATTTACTTCAGTGTTAAATAACATACCATAATAACCCACTCTGTACTACAAAAATGATAAATAAAAAAACCCCGAAGAGCGAGATTTATTGACGGAAAATGTTTGCATTGCGAAATTCTCCAGTTCGCTTTTCATTGTAAATATCGCGACATTTCATTTTTAATTAATAATCAAGCACCATCAAACCGATCGGAATGATCGGCTTTTATTAATATGACCGACTAAAAGGCTCGAGAAGTTGCCGTCGCCCTTTCACAAAATCTGATTTCATTCCATAAGAGGCGCCGCGCTTCGGCGCGGACGCTAACAACAGGTTTACCGTGAACAAAATATATCGAAATTAATAAGGGTTCAGACTCTAATTAAGAATAATATGGTATTCTTCAGAATGTTATCTTATAACTCCCCGTGGTCGAGGGGGTTTACACGCTCGCTTTAGAAGCGAGAGGTCCGGATTTCAAATCCCAATTCAGACAACTCTTGTTTTGTTTTTTTGTTTGTTTTTGTTTTTTTACATTGTTTAATTGTTTAAGCCAAATAAACATTGAATTGAATATCAGTGTTGCAATTAGTCTTATAGCCAATTTACTATAGTTATAATACTGGAAACAGATTTTGGTGACACTTTACAAACAAATTGGTTTATAATCTCACAACCTTTACCTTTCTGGCATTCTGAGACACAAACAAATTCAGCGCCTTCTGTGCTTTGATTTTTATTCTCGTGAGTTTAGAGCACCTGTATGTTATGTTTAAAATGGGCTAACAATACTTATATACATAATCAAACTAAATTATTAATCGCATCAAGTCATCTATTTATAATGGAATAATTTAACTATAACATTTTCTTTATATTTTCACACATATTGTTTTCCCTTTAAAAGGCTCAACTTACGTCCGGAAGCCTAAAATCATAACAATTTCAAAATCTTGGATATATCAATAAAGGCACAGAAGTATATCAAGACTTAGTATTAATTTGGAAATTGATATTTCGGGCGATTTTTTCCCCGATTTGAGTTAAAAACGATTAAGCGCCTTTAATTTTAGGTCATTTAACACAACAGAAAAGCGAATGAGCCGATGTTTTGCAAACAAGTTATTAATAGACATCATATGATAAAATCTAGAAAAATATTTCAAGTCCTGTATTTTACAATATAATCTCAGCGGTGTCCCTTTAAGCCATTATTGTTGTTTCAAATGTTTGGTTTCATAACTTATTACACTTTATGTTGACAAATAAAAATGAAGGGTTTGTTTCTTTAAGAAATTTTGTTTCATGTTTTATGGTATTCATACAGACTAAACACACAACTCTGTCAACCCTGTAAGAAAGTCACATAAGAGTTATTTACCTTACACTTGAGATTTTTTTTGCAATTTCCGGACATTTGAAAATCAGATACATTTGTATTTACATTTCAAAAGTATTTCCTCTTCACACCCAATCTTTGTCTTGAACTTTAAAAGACTGTAGTTCTCTAGCAACATCTGAAGTGCTAGTTTCGCCTTTTATCGCGTAGTCAGTACTGTATGTCAGACGTCATCACATATCTTTCACTAACATTGAAGAGTTATTCGTCTTCAATATCTTAAATATTCAAGCAATGACCCAACAGTATGGTCTTCTAATTTAAATGTAAAATTATTTACTGTTGTGATATAAAGAAATAAATACATTATCATCGGTATATGTCCATTATCCAAGCAACAAGCGAGTTTCTCACTTTCAATGAATTAAGATGGAATTAGCGGACAAAATAAACAACATCTAAATGTTTATCATAATATATCATAAATATGCGAAATTTCCCGAATTGATAGTATTGCTTGGTAGTAAACATTAACAGAAATGTGATTAACTAAAATTTATTCACAATAACGCAAAACGAAATATCTTAACAGATTTATTTCTCTTACATATTTATTTACAGTGAAAACATTATTCATATGTAGCAGATGTTTTACACATACATAAGTTAAATTAAATTCACATTACAGAACGTTTAAATGTTGTGGTGCATCATAAATTCTGGTATAATGTGCGGTGATTATAGCTTATTACAAGTTCTACATTATAAACAAGGCTAATGTAGTACATGGTATATGAGAGCATTTATCACAACATTCACTTAGCTTTATAGTGTTCACTATATCACTGAATACATCAAGGTGCGATATATTGCAATCAGTGTCTAAGATAACAAAAAAAAGTACAGAGATCGATGAATCTTCTTGAAGGCAAGTAATCTGGTCGCCAGAAAAATCTAAGCTACCGAATTTTAACAAGTTCAATAATTTCATATTGAGTAAACACAGATTTGGTATTTTCGGGCTAAGCCCAGGTGATTTATATCGTATTTTTGACGCCTAAGTCATGCTTTATCTTTGTTTCACGCTGCTTTATTACACCTCTTCAAATATTTAAACCATTTTCAAACGAAATATTACATCCGGGCGACTAGCATAAATGTTGCCTATAAATCATAATAAAATTGATCCGTTTTGAAAAAAAGCTCACCAGGGGAAATGCATTATTTGCTGGTCCTGACAGAAATAACAAAACGGATAGATGTCAGGGAGGTTTGGTATTTTTATCAACGTTTCGTAATAACCTCATCAATTATGAGATCAGGGCTTCATTATCTGAAAATAAATATTTGGCTTTTGTATTTCACAAAGTTGATTTTTAAACAAGACAGTCGCATACATACGTTTACATGAACAATGTTGGAAGTGTTTTTAACTTTGCTACGAAATGTCATTTACATCACTTTATTTATGTGCAGTGACAATGGATCAATCGATGTTACTTAAAGCTAATAATAAAAGCTGTTAAAAATGTCAAGGCAACATTGTTATGTCAATCAAATATAAACCATTATTGAAAATTGATCATTTTGTCGTTTGTAATGAAATATGTTTCAGTTTCACGTTTCCGATGATATATGTATGCCTTTATTTTACAATGCCGTATATTGGCCTCCAACTGTAGTATTTTAATCCCGTATTAAGCTAATCCATGTGGTGTGAACTTTGACTAATATATCAAATGGATAACCAGTATTTCTATCACTTGGTTACTTAAAACTATAGTTGTTCATCTGATCTGTCCATTCAGTACATTGTCCTCATGCTTTAATTACCACATACAGTCAAATTTGTGTCAAAGGTTCCCGCATGTTTGGAAGCCCGGCGCGTTCAGCTTGGAAGCCCGGCAAGAGATAGCTAATTGAACCGCGACAGGTGTAGATCATTATAGCAAAAGTACACCATCTAACTCCATTTCCACCAAACACACCCGTTACCCCTTCCCCTCCCCGCCCCCTCCGCCAACCACTACTATCCCCTAGTAAATGTATAACGATTTTACATTTTTTTCTCTCAAAACACTGAGTCTTTAAAGACAAGTAAGACTTTTATCTTCGGTGTTAAGTTCCCACATGCACTTATTGCTTTGTAACGTGACCATATTGTACTTATTTTAATGGCGAATATGTTCTGAAAATACGGCGTACATTCCGGACAAGAGTTAATGAAAATGATAGAACTCAATAAGTTAATATTAAGTTAGAAAGACAATGATTTTATTTATTTCTACTGAATTTATTTTCAATCAATAATCCTTATCAAATTAACCCATTACCTGCTGGAACTTAAAGTGATCACCCTCCAGCATCTGGCTAGGCCAGTGTGCACATCTAGGTTCTATACTGTTGGCTGAAAAACTTTTAATTATCAACTTGATATGCGCGAATTGATAACGGACAGTTCATTAAATGAAACCTGGGACAAGTCTATTAAAACAAATCAGAAGAAGCCCATCTCCGGGTCAGCAGAATGATAGATACATCCGACTATTAGATAAGCATCATTTAGTGGTGTGACACCTTACCTGGACACAATGACTCTAAAAAGGTGTCTGTTCAACAATCAGCCCTCGTGTCCCCTTGACCCTAGTACCTGCCGGGGTCAGCTCTGTAATTATGATTTATACTGCTGGGACAGATAACCTTTCAATAGTCAATTGGTGTCAGCGTGAATTCTAAACATGTCAGGGTAACGCTGTTATACGCCAAAGAAAATGAATTTGTATCTAAACTAGTATTAAATAAGTGACGA